TCATAATGATTAATTAAATATATATATCATGTATATGTTTCAAGATATCGCCAAAATTAAGACTATTATACATGATATTATATAGTACAAAGCTAACTTTCAAAAACTAATTATAAATATTAAAAATTATAAATATTATAAATATTAAATTGATTTTTCATATGCAGCACGTTGCAGCAGCAAAATGCTAATATCGGTTGAAAATTTTTTGTGATATGAGGCACTTCCAATCAATTCTCGAAAATTTGAATCACATGACATTTTGCTGCCGCAGCGTGCTGCGTATGAAAAATCAATTTAATACTACCATTTATAATTAGTTTTATAAATAGATAGATGTTACCACCGACGTCTATGACATGAATGGAGTCACGAGGGCTGCTTAGCAACTAACTATTGATTAATGAATTGACTCTCAATTGCTTTTCCATCTCATCTTACATTACAATTCCTTATATTCTATATTAACTAAATATAAATTCTTAATCAAACAAGAATCCTATTTTTCCTTTCGGAAAAAACATAACAATAGATAATGCAATTTATTAGCCCACGGTAAGAATACAGCTATTTTACATTCTTACAGTCTTGTTACACTAGATAGCGTTGAATAATATTAAAACTATAGAGTTCCTATACCAGAGTCTGGGTATCGATGTAAATTTTCACGAAACTTTCATTTTTTTCACTTTTCATATGTATTAATCTCACGTGAAAAGTTTTATTTTCAAACGATATCAGACTTAGTGATTATGTAAGAAAATTATGAAAAAGTGAAATCAGATGCAAGGAAGTTAGATCTTCACGAGAAAGTGAGATCATAAGGCAAATTTACATCGTTTCTCTTAAATTTACGAAAATTTAACAAGTGTTCACGAGTGTACATATTATACAAGTATATATGCACGTACACACAAGTATGTACGTACATACGTATTTTGATAGGAAATCACATTGTGCTCATTATTTGTTGTTTCTATACATATAATTGACAATAACAATGAATGTAACTCAGAAACAAAAGGAAATGCTGTTAGACATAATGTGTTAAAAAATTTGGATATTGTGCGGGGAAGAGTGTCGCGAAATTCTCAGAGCTGTATGGAACTGGTAAAAATATATTATTTTTTGTTCTTGATTGTAGTAAAAATATTTAAAATTCATAGAAAAATGTATAGGAGAGCATAGCACAAACTCTAAATTGTTCCGAATTGGAGTCGGAAAAATCTTCATCTGAATGAAAAAAGATTATTTTTTAATCTGTTCATAAACACACATAATCTGTTTCATAAATCTCTATTTTTTATTATAATTCTCATTTTTTAATTTTCATGTAATTTTTGTGCACTTCATATTTTTATCTTTTACTTATATATTTAATTTAACATCACGCAAATGTTTTCTTAATATGCGATGTTTTCGTCTGTCAACTGCATACTCTTCCTCTTCGTTCGCATCACGGCATTTACGGCGAGAAATACAATATCCATTTCAAATAGATATTCAAATATATTTGATATTTATCGAAAGCGAGAAAGTTTTAGTGCAATCTAATGCAGGAAACAGATCAAAAAATCGAAAAACAAGTTAGTTTATATCAATTTACTAAAAAATAAATAGAATTTTACATTTTAGGCATTTCGTGACTTGCCGAAAAATTTCTCATGAACTATTTCATATTTTATAGCAGCCAAAAGTTATTTAATTGCTTATTCATTACATTCACGTGAATTTGTTCACTTTTGTGTATTCATTTCTAGGGGAAACTTTACATAATCGATACCTAATCGATAACCTAACCTGGAACAATCTTTGGTTTTGAATTAAAATTGCGTCTATTCTGCGCAGTACCATAGCACTGTAGTTCAATCGAGTATTGCGTAAAAAACTCATATAAAATTGATATTCCAAGTTTTAAGATTATAAACAGTTAAGCCTATACATTATTTGATTTTATTAAAGATATAAATAAAAAATAATATATATTGTACGGTATAAAAATGACATTCTAATCATTTTATAAATCATTGACTATTATTTTTTTCTCAGAAAAAATTACTGATTGTTGTGTGTGTATGGACTTGTTATTTTGTATGTATGAACATATTTTTTATATAATT